TATTATTATTATTACTATTAGTATTAGTATTTTTTATATTGTTATTATTATCTTTGTTAATATTATCTATATATATATATATGTATATATATATATATATATTATAGCTTTCTGCACGGAGCCACGTCTGCTCAAGCGAAACTTCCGACCTGAACACACGGACCGGAGCTCGGCTGATGGCTAACCCGAGTGACCGCAAAGTCATTACCTGCCATTCGTCAAGAAGTCCGGGCCTACCAGTACTTGGAGGATCATGGGACTTAGTAAGTATGGTTAGAAGTCCCCCAATTGGGGTTGTAATTATAGTTACCTTAGTTATAACCCTACTTACTAAGTCCCATGATGCTTGAAGTAGCGCACACGCAAAAACGAAGGCTGGCCTTCCGGCAGCCCAATAAATGACATCTCCGGGTTGTCCACATCCTTGGGGCATATGCGCTGAGAATGCTGAACATCTGCTTTGAGAAAGCCTCAGCAGGATTTGGAAGCCGAGTCACTTTGACCCGGCATTTGACGGTATGGATATTGTACACGGTCTTGAGCCCAGGATATGATCTGGAATACTCCACCTGAAAGCCAGGGAGACAAGACTTCAGGGTTTCAGAACGAGGCACCGGCGGGCTCTGACGAGCAAGGCAGAGAGAACGCACGAAGCACTCATGAAAGCCGGCATGTTACTGTTCATCCAGCCTCCTCGTCCAACCGATATGAGGAATCCACGATGACCAGATGCGACTTTACAAAAGCCTGGGCAGCTTCCCCCTACTCTCGTGGCACTGCCGCAAACGCTACGCAAACGCTACGCCACCACCGCAGCTGGAGCTGGAAGGTTCTGAAAGAGATTCAGGGGAGAAAAGGAGAGAAGGCTGTGGTGCTGTGGGGCCCCAGAGACTCCAATATTCCTCAATTCAGGAATATTCCTTAAATTATAGTAGGATCCTTAATATGATTTCAGGTATATTCCTTAAATTATAGTAGGATCCTTAAAAAATATGATTTAAGGTATGGTATATTCCTTAATTAAGGGATATTGGAGTTTCTGGGGCTTTCATGCTTGCGTGCCGCGAAGTATGGACCACTCGGTGCCGAGCTTCATCCATCCCAAGCTTGCCTCGGCGAGACTTGGAGGCTCGAAACCCCCCAACCCTAAACCCTAAACCCTAAACCCTAAACCCTCAACCCTAAACCCTAAACCCTAAACCCAAAGCCATGCTCTCTGGGAGCTCTTGGAACCCTTGGGGCCCTGGCCGTAGAGGCAGGCCAGAGCCGCGGCCTTCCAGTCCTCCGACCACGGCTACAGGGGGGGTTTAGGGTTTAGGGTTTAGGGTTTGGGGTTTAGGGTTTAGGGTTTAGGGTTTAGGGTTTAGGGTTTTGGGTTTAGGGTTTAGGGTTCAGGGTTGAGGGTTCCCAGAGACTCCAATATCCCTTAATTAAAGGAATATACCTTAAATCATGTTAAGGATCCTACTATAATTTAAGGAATATTGGAGTCTCTGGGTCTGCTATGCACTTGCGAAGCACTGAGCCCACTCGGTCTGCGGACTCCCCCCTACAAAGGATAAGGTTTGGTCTCGGGGGTCTGTGTGCGTGGGGGGGGGTTCGCCAGTGGAAAGCTGGACCAGCAACGTGTGAAGGAGGTTGAAAGTCCGACGCGTGGGTTAACGTGGCACCATACGCCTCCGAAACATGTATCATCATGTTTGTGCTTCCAGCTCTAAGTTGCACAACTCCACCATCAAGTCGAAAAGTTTGACTGAAGCAGGCTTGCAATTCCTGGTCGGACCGCATGCGCATCGTCACAGGACCTGCGCGGCGGAGGGGAGCACTAGAAACGGAAGGCTGCGCATCCACCCCAAGGGGCGCACCTTCCTTGTGGTTGCGCTCTCGCTTTCCAAACTGCATCTTGCCTTTGGAGCGAAGGACCTCTGCACATTGCCCCAAGCAGGCAGCAGGAACATCAATCTACATCCTCTGTCGTGGCAGCAGTGGATAGCAGTGGGGCAGAGGCGTAATCCACACTGAGGATGGTCGCGCATAGCCAAACCTGCTGGCTGTCAGCCCGAGTGCAAGTGACCTAGACTTACGCATAGGCATGACGGCATCGAAGAGAAAACAAACCGCTGCGACAGTAGGGCCTGGAAGCAGTGCCATCTCGCAGTTTAAGCTGGCCCTGATCCCTGCCCCCTTGCACTCGCGATTCGGGCCTTGATGATCTGGATGTTGCGAACGAGGTGGCCAGCCTCGGCTGAGAACGAATCTCCCATGTTCCAAGCTCGGTTGTCCTGCGAGGCTGCTGCCCGAATATTCAGCGTGGCATATCGCGACTGGCAGGAAAAGGCACTTTTCGCACTTACTGCGCGTCTTCGTGTCTGCGGTGCCATCGGCCTCGTAGAGCTCGTCGCAAAGCTCTGCGGTCGCGCCAGGCGGATAATCGTTGGTGTCGATACCGTGTTCCTGACATGTGGCTGGCAAGCGTGGCAAAGACGGCAACCCGTGCGGCAGAAACATAATACGTCATCAGGACGCAAGTGCATGACGACATACTCGTGCTCAAGCCCACAACATCCGGTAAACGCAACAAGCGAAGGGGAACAAAGCTTTCGTGGAGCGGGAGAAATGCAGAGGGTGCTTCCGTCGTAACACCTAGCAACGGCTGAACACAAGGATCGAATAGGATGGGATGTGCCATGTGGGGGGTTTCCGAAAATAGGGTCCCACAGTAGGATCCTTACTATAGGGACCCCCAAAAGAAGGTGCCCCTTATTTTCGGAAACTCCCGTGTGACCCCAAGACTCTAAACTCTAAACCCCTAAAACCCTAAACCCCTAAAACATCCTAAACCCCCAAACCTCAAAAAACTCCTAAACCCTAAACCCTAAAACCCTAAACCTGTAAGAATCCTCCATCCCCCGGCTCCCGCCAGAAAAGGCCAGGCGCCTGCAGCAGCCGCTCCAAGGCCTCCTCGTTGCTCAACTCCTCGCCTCGCCGGCGCCTGGCAGAAGGGTTTAGGGCTTAGAGGGTTCAGGGTTTAGGGTTTAGGGTTTAGGGTTTAGGGCTTAGAGGGTTTAGGGCTTAGAGGGTTCAGGGTTTAGGGTTTAGGGTTTAGGCTTCTTGTAGTAGATTGATTATTTTTATAGTAGTATATATTAGTAAGTTCTAGTAAATTATAGTGTATACTAGTAGATTCTAGTTAGTTATAGTGTGCATTGGTATATTCTAGTAAACTGAAGAATGTTATGGTATGGTATAGTGTAGTATAAGATGATAGAGTGGAGTATAGTATAGTACTGGTACAGGGCAGAAGCACAAGATAGCGTTTATTGGCCACAGATCTCAAGGGCGACGACCGTCCGCTTGAGGCGCTGTGAAGTTTGCGGGCTTCTGGAGTGATTAAGCGAGCCCTGCCGGCCAGGACCAATTGGCCTTGGGAAGGTTCGCCTGCACGAGGAGTTCTTCAGCAATAGCGCTCTCTGCATGCAGTTTGCGAACATGTGCACGCAGTGCAGGCAGGACGAAGCCCTCAGGGGCAGGCTACGGGAATGGCTTCAGTATCGAAGCTGGTCATATCTGGCAGGCCGATAGCCTTGGGTTGGCAGTGCGTGCAGATGCGACCCGACACGCTGAGACGGCGCCATGCGCAGTGGCATAGCTCCTGGGCTTCCTTGCTCGAAGCGAAGGCCGTGTGGGATCCGGTATGTGGATGCAGACATCGTACGTCGTGTACCTTGGGTGTGAGCTGCGGATTCGATCATAAGAGCTCTGACCTTGAGCTCCTGAGACGTGGGCATTGTCTCCACACCGGGGAAAAACATCGACTTGATTCGCTCGACCTGCAGAGGGCATCGCAGTTCGAAAGCGAGTGCAACTGCGACGAGGGGTTGCCTTGTCTGTGACCACGTTGTCCTGAGCCAACCTGGTATACCGGGGACCGCGGGGACCGCACAGCTGAAGGAGAAAGAGCCCACCCCACAGTGCTCCGGGCTTCCCACAGCTCCTGTCGAATCTCCGCAGGTAAGCCAAGCCGGGACGCAAAGAACGCATCCTGAGAAGTCCCAGGGCCGAGAACACGCCAAGAACCCAAGGGTTTAGGGTTTAGGTTTAGGGTTTAGGGTTTAGGGAACTCTCCGACTTAGCCCCATGCCACGGCCGACTTCCAGCCAGATCCTTCCTCCCAGCACTTCCGACTTGTTTGGGGTCTTCCGAAGGACGCATTACGGCGCGTTGCCCGTTGGGCGTTTACAGCCAAGTTGCCTCAATGAACGAGGAGGGCCTCTGGTTTCTCCTTGCAGGCTCGGTCGTGCTAGAAAAGAGCAGCGGTTGTCACGGCTCGCAGAGATCCCTGTCCTGACCAGGGTGCTGTCCTGACATGCTGGACTTTGCATGCTGAGAGAGCCAGGGTTTTCCGAGGTCCTTACCTTCAGAACCTCGCAGTTCAGCCTCAACTCCATGTCGTGCCCGTCTTGGCCTTGAAAGCTCAACAGCTCGCCTTTTTTCTGACCGAAGTCTGCTGCGGCTCTTCGGGGCTCCAGCCAGTGACAGTGAGGCTGATGTTGACCTCAGAGAACACGTGCGATACACGTCAATGAGTCACCTTAGGAGCCTTAGGGCATCACCAGCTCCATCCGCCTCTCCAAAGAGTCGTTCTTCTTGACGAAGTAGGACTTCTTCTCGACCTCCATACCAACACCAGGAGCGAAGCTTCAGAGAGTTCGGCAGCACCAGGCCTCTACATTGCGGTACAGCTCGTCGAGGGTCTTCGCCTAGCATCTCAAGAGATCTCCCTCTGCAAGGACTCGACAACTCTGGGTGAGGCGGCCTGGCCCTTGCCAAACTTGGAGATGTCCTCAGTGGGACGGACATCTCACAAGTTGGGAATGGTGAGAAACAGCTCCCACGATGCACGCAGGGGTAAGTCGCTACACCATACCGATTTCACTCGCAGGATTGACAGGGTTTTAAAGGTGCAGGTCCAAACATAAACAGCACGGCGATTGCAAGATGCAAGGGCTACACGACTGGCGTAGGCAGCATGGGGTGCAACATGAAAGAACATGCTGGACCCCGAAACCTGAAGGAAAAGACTGCGCAAAGCAGGTATTGGGACCGAATTGGCCGGCTGGGTGCCAGACGATGCCATGATCGACCAACATTTGCCTGCAAGGACACAGGCGTCAACCCCCGGCACTCCAGCGCACTCCTTGCCCTTTTTTCCTGCCTGAACTCCGCGGTGCAATGCTTCCCACCACTTGTCGGCGACAAAGACTGCACAAGGCCGGGAAAGAGCACATGACAAAGCTCATGGCTTTGAAAGCTTTGGCAGAAGGCCTCATAGCCCGCGGAAGGCGGAGCCTCTTCTGGTAGCTCCGCAGAAGGCTCCAAGTAGTAGCAGTCATTCCTTGGCCAAGGACAGCCCCAGCTACGCCCCGCCTTGAGCGGCCCTCCACAGCGAAGACGATTCTCTCAGCTTCTGGCACTCTTGAGCAAGTAAACGGCAAGCGCTCCAAGACATTCAGCTTGTCCTACGGCTTTCACGAATCCTGGAAACTGACGCACTGCCGGCCTCTTCTTACCGACAACCTTCCTTGCCTGAGCTTCACAAAATATCTAACCCTAAACCCTAAACCGTAAACCCTAAACCCAATCTCCCGCCTTCGTCGACTTGAGGATCTGGACGCCTCAGCTCAACTCTATCAAGGGCCCTTTTCAAATCGCCTGGGAGGCCGTAAGCTCTCGGCACGAGTCCTGTGGAGCCAAATCCGCCAAGCGCTTGGCCTCCGAGACGGCCTGCTTTCAGCCACGAAACGGTTTAGGGTTTAGGGTTTAGGGTTTAGGGTTTAGGGTGAGTTCTGAAGCCATCTTGATGGCTTCCCGGGAAGTACAACAGTCGGGCACAAATTCGAAGTCACAAGTTGAAGCGAGATTTGGCACGAGGCATGCCGTGTTGGGCTTCAACTGCTCTCAAGAGTCCACACGCAGCTTTGAATGGGGGTTTCCGAAAATTGGGGACCCTAATATAGTACCCTAAATAATGGGATCCTTAACATAAGGACCCAACAAGAAGGTACCCTTAATTTTCGGAAACTCCCGAATTGCTTTCAACGGCCCAGGCAGCGGCCTCACCGTAGACGGCCTGTTCGTCACGGGAAGCTGGGTCTTGGGGGAATCGGCTGCATATCGCTCTTGCTCTGCAATGCTACTTAAAGGATCATGGGACTTAGTAAGTAGGGTTAAAACTAGGGTAACTATATTTATAACCCCAATTAGGGGACTTATAACCATACTTACTAAGTCCCATGATCCTCCAAGTACAGTATGCACCTCTCCGCCGCTTCGGAGAACGAGCTTCCGAACAATGCCACTGTGCACACCTGAAAGGGCAAGCAGAACCCCCCAGCGACTCCAATATTCCTTAAATTATAGTAGGATCCTTAATATGATTCAAGGTATATTCCTTAATTAAGGGATATTGGAGTCTCTGGGCCCGTACCAACTCTCCGGTAACACACAAAACGAGGGTCGGGCCGATGTGCAGCGCATAGGGTGGCTCCTGACTGATGGCCCAACCTTGCAACGAAAGCGCTACTTGTCCCGCTGCAGCAAGTACTTGGAGGATCATGGGACTTAATAAGTAGGGTTATAACTAAGGTAACTATACTTATAACCCCAATTAGGGGACTTATAATCATACTTACTAAGTCCCATGATCCTCCAAGTAGAACGGCAAAAAAAACACAGGAGGGCGTGGCGGCATATGAGCTGCCCCAATCGGACGATGATATCCTCGCGGGGCGTCCTAAACCCTAAACCCTAAACCCTAAACCCTACACCCAGGGCGACTCTCGGATGCCATGGCGACTCGCAGCTGCATGCCCGTTCCTCGAGAGACATGTGCCCTCTGTCGAAGTGCTCCTCCAGGAGGGGACACCGTATTATGGGTTTAGGGTTTAGGGTTTAGGGTTTAGGGTTTAGGGTTTTCTGCACAGGGCATCAAGCTCTGCAGCCGAGAGGGTCAGACAATACTCATCATACTCCCAGAGATGAAAAGCCCTGGAGCAGTTGCATTGTCCTCCTTTGCTATCGAGGCACTGCACACGAGAAGCCCATGGGTTGCCTAGGGGCAGGGTGGTGCCGGTGCCCTCAATGATGGTGGGGGCGGTGGCAGTGGGCGATGCTGCTGCGACTGCGTAAATTGTTTTGAACCCTGTGGCTTTAAAAAGAGATTTGTGGCTTTAAAAAGAGATTGGCATTCACACGAGCAGTACTACACACTGCCTGTGCTATATCACTCATGCAACGACGGAGGACTTCCGATATATGGGGAATGCCATCAACATCAGTTGTACTCCTACCATCACTGGCCTTCGTAACTCCCGTTGCCCCAAGAAGACTACTACATGCACTGTTCTGCTCCCGCAGCAAAAGGTGCTCTCGCAGGGCTGATGCCACCGGAAGTCCAATAAAAATGCCCCTCTTGGACATGAGAACAAAGCCTGGACGGCGATCCTTCTACCACACATGCTTGCGAACAGGCGCGGACACCAAACTGACACCGAGCTCAGGCAAAACCTTGGGGCGCGACGGCTGCTTCCACCTCCGATGCAAAGGACACAAAGACTTCCAATATCCCTTAATTAAGGAATATTCCTTAAAGCATATTAAGGATCCTACTATAATTTAAGGAATATTCCTTAATTAAGGAATATTGGAGTCTCTGGGAAGGACTTTCGACGAGGTTCCAGGAGCTCTGAGGCGTTCGTTTCATCACCAAGCCACTCTGAGCTCCCTTGCATTTCCCTGTCCCCTCATACTTAAAGGATCATCGGACTTAGTAAGTAGGGTTTAGGGTTTAGGGTTTAGGGTTTAGGGTTTAGGGTTTGGGGTACTTAAAGGATCATCGGACTTAGTAAGTAGGGCTATAACTAAGGTAACTATACCTATAACCCCAATTAGGGGACGTATAACCATACTTACTAAGTCCC